TAACTTTTTGCTATTAGTCATGTGCACTCACTGGAGACAGACAGAGAGAGAAAGTGAGAAATTGCCCCTTGGGGGGATGGTCATGCTGCAATCTCTTCTCCTCCATTCTCCCCTCAGGTTTTGAGGCATGCATGCACATGCACCAGGCATGTTTCCCAAGTCACTGGTCAGAGACTCAAATCTTGCTGTCAGCCATGTTAGATCTGGCAACCTTGACCCACCATACCACCAGATAGCCCCAGATCAAAACGTTTGATCAATTCAGTAACATTCTTTTAGTTTCTCTTTGGTAAAAAAAAATTTTTTGTATGGTTCTTATTAGTTCCAGTTGTACCTACTAGGAGGAACATAATAACTGATTGTTCATCCAACTTTTAGTGATATTCATTCTGATATGTGGATTCAGATAGTGTCAGTTTGATTATTGTTTCAAAATTTTCCTTCAACTTTAGTGATTTTAATAACCATTGAAATCATCATCATGATTTATTTTTAATATACAGTGATTTTTCTAATTATTATTTTTTATACTTTTAATTCTTCTAAACATTCCCTTATTAACTGTTTGGTGATGCCAAAATACAATTTATATAGGAAAAATACAATAGAGAATTTTTCTCTCTCTCTTCCCACTATTCCTGTCAAGCTTAAACTTGAGCCAGTTGCCCGCCAGTTGACATCACTTTCCCCATGGCTCTCAGCAAAAGTATGTTGAGCACATGATGGCTGTCATCAAAGAAGATGCCAATGAGAAAGCAGAGGAGATACATGAGAAGGCAGAATAAGAGTTCAACATTGAGAAATATTATTTTATACAAACTCAAAGACTGAAGATTATGAAATACTGTTTTTAAAAAAAGGACGATTGAACAGCAGAAGAAAATTCAGATGTCCTATTTGATGAGTTAAGCAAGGCTCAATGTCCTCAGAGCAAGAGATGACCTTCTCTCAGACCTTCTAAATGAAGCAAAGCAGAGACTCAGCAAGGTGATGAAAGATACAGCTAGGTACCAGGTACTGCTGGATGGACTGGTCCTCTGGGGTGTGCACCAACTTTAGCACCCTAAATGAATGATCATTCCTGGAAACAAGGTTTCTCTCTGATAAAGGCTACAGTGTAGAAATCCATACTTATGTACAAAATTACCATCAAAAAGACATCAATTTCCATATCAATTGGGAAGCATTCTTGGATATAGATGGCAGAGTTAAGATCTATAACAAGGATCATGAGATAAAGGTGGCCAAAACTCTGGGAAGGTGACTGGATCTCATAATTTAGTGGATAATGCCAGAAGTCCAGGGAGCTTTGTTTAGTGCAAATTCCAGTAGGAATTTTGTGGAATAAACCTTTGGGAGCTTCAGTTCATCTGCTCTACTTTGGAAATTCCTCATATTTGAAGAAAAAAAGATTATCTATATAACTTCTGCTTTGTGTTCAAATACTATTCTGTGTTTATTCATGGATATCGTCTGCCACCAGTGACTGTGACCTAATTCATAATACTTAGAGAAAGTGTCACTTATTATGATACAGAACCTATTTCTAGTTCATCTGAAAGTAACACAGCACTCAGCTGTTCTGTAGCGTGATGGTGAGGGGAGCAGAGGTGGTTGTAGGGACATCACTGAGTCCTCTGTTACTTCCCTGGCTCCAGTGATGTCTGCAGAAGGCATCTGGTGTTCTCTCCCTCCAGGTCTTTGTCCTTTAGGTTTAAGATGCGCGTAGGGTATGTATTTTTTCCAGCAGTAATAGCTTCACTGTTACCCACATGTGTCAGTAAGTTTTCCTCATTTGTAAAGGTGATTTATAGTCTAAATCATGAATATGCTTTATTTATTAAAATAGAAAATTTATACAAATTTTTAAAAATGAAATAAATACATGCTTCATTTTTACTGCCTTTCTTTTTCTTTTTTTAAAAATTAATTTATTGATTTATTTTAATATGACCAGAGAAGGACAGAGAGAGAGAGATAAAGAGAAAGGGAAAGCAAGAAAGCAAGCCACCAGGTCTAGGACTTGAACCACAATTGGCCATATGGGAATCCAGTGCCCTTAACCCCATGCTACCTGCCGGTCTTTACACCTCCTTTAAAAGTAATAGAAGTCAATGATTATTTATTGGGTTTAGTATCTTTATTTAAATGTATCTGATGCTTTTAAATTAATTTCAATCAATATTCATTTTTATATTGAAATTTTTTAACCAGTAGATAGTAATCGATCATGGTTCAAGTTCTGAAGTAGTGACACACATCAGGTGTATGTGCGTGTATGCCCAATATCCTGAGAGGAGAATGGAAGAGAAGGGATTGCAGTGGGGCCATTCCCCCTGGGGAGTGATTTCTTGCTTTCTGTCTTTTTGTCTTTTTGCCTCTTTAGTGAGTGCACATACCCTATTGCAAAAATCTCTCTTAAAAAAATAATAAAATTTTCTAACCATAAGCCAGACAGTCATTTTAAACTGTCTATATCTCCGAGATGACCTAACTAGCTCTTTATAGCATTCTTGCTTTCTAGAAAACTATACTGCCTATGGTAGTAATCTTGTATATTTATTATCCTAAACTTTAAATCAATCAGCCATTTGTGTGAGAAGCTCTGTTTCTGTTTAAAATGAAAATAACTCATTTAGGTGAACTGGAGAATGGAGATAATCCTTGTTCCTAGATTATAATTTTTAGTGTTATTTGTTTTAAAAGAGAATATTATTTCAAACTAAGTGTCTTTTTTTCTTTCTTTCTCTCTCTTTATCTAAGTTTTACTAGAGTACACGTGCACTCACTAGACACAGATAGGCAGAGAGAGGAAGAGAAAGTGAGATAACATCCCCCCTAGTCAGCCATGGCCACACTGCAGTCCTTTATCCTTCATTTTTCCATCCCATTAGGATCTTGAGCATGCACAGATTCATAGCTGGTATGTTTTTCAAGCCACCAGGACCAGCATTCAAACAGCAGTCAATGTTCTGGGAGCCAGTTTCCTTAATCACTATACTATAAGGCTAGTGATTTTTCCATTAATTATTTGTCCTTTTTGTTGTTGTTTTCTATTGTTTTCACAAAGATATTTTGTATATTCATGCAATTTAAATTTTAAACTTGCCTTTAGATCTCCGTATTAGTTTGTCAAATAAAAAAGAGATCTGATTAATTTTTGGTATAGTTATTTATCTCAAAAAAGCAGTTTTAATAATATCAACTTTGTCATTTATTTTAAATTCTGTTGGCTTAGCTATTCTATTAAATTTTAAGTGTTAGGATGCTTGTTTAGTTATTCACACAGTATTTAATTATGGTTCTTCAGATTCCTAGTTTAAATGTTTATTTACATATATTCTGTTTGTATTATGCTCGACAGCACTATAGAGATTTCCAGATTTGATAATACTTGGAATGCAACCTTTTGAATAATATCTGAGTGCAATCCAGAAATTTTTTTTGAGAGGTTTTTTGCTATAGGGCACTCACCAGAAAGACAGAGAAAGCAAGAAATCATCCCCCAGGGGGGATGGCCACACTGCAATCCCTTCTCCTCCATTCTCCTCTCAGGGTCTTGGGGACGCACGCAAGCACACACACCCAGCATGAGTTTAAACCACCGGGTCCGGGACTCGAACCACAGTCAGCTGCATGGGATTCCAGAGACATAGACATTAAGGTAACTGCTGGTTCCCAATCTAGAAATATTTAAAGGTCTCTCATGATTGTCCTTACTTTTTTTGTTTGTTTGTTTTGAGAGAGAATTTTGCTATAGGGTCTGTGCATTCAACAGAAAGACAGAAAGAGATAAGAGAGATAGAAAGTGAGAAATAACCCCCCCCACCCAGGGGGATGGCCAGGCCACATTCTCTACTCCTCCATTCTCCTCTCAGAATTTTGGACACACACACACACACACACACACACACACACACACTTGACATGCGTTTCAAACCACCAGGTCTGTGACTTGAACTGCACTCAACCACATGGGTGTCCAGCACTTTAACCATGGTGTCCTGCATAATTGTCACTTCTAAAGGGCCAAATTTATTTCTATGACATCTCCTATTAGTAGAAATACTCAGAAGTACTATAGTGAAAGGGTACTGGATTTTGAACCAACAATGAACTTCTGTCTTTAGTCTGACATTTCAATCCTTTCTAGGCTATATTATGAATCTTTGTGTCACTGCCTATACAATAAACATTTCTCTTGCCCTGTGTACTTCTCAGCATGAGCTAATTGTTTCAAGTGCAAAGCTTTCTATATATAAAATTCAGAAAATCTAAGAAATGACTGGGTCAGAAAAGAATGATCTCCCTCTTTATCTCAGAGCATATCTATTTGTTCTGTGAATCCAATACTGTGAGGGTGTAATGAGTTTGAAGTTTTCTCAACAAAGACATACTGCTTCAGGAGTATACAACTCAAATAATTTTAATAACTGTTTTTAAGTTTGTTTATTTCTTTCATGAATGAGAAAGGCAGAATGATAAAAAGAGAGTGACAGCACCCCTAACAAGTTCTTGTTGATGTGATCCAAACCCAGCTGCAATCATGCTTGGTATAAGAACACCTGTTAGATCATTGTATTCATGGAAGTCTCTAGACACAAACCAAGAACCCTCCCACATGGATCAGCCTCATAGAGCATTGTGTTTTGCAACTGCCCCACTGTCTAACCCCCTCAAATAATGTTAAAGGTAAGAAATTAATTGCCATATGCATTAACAAATCTTTTTCATGGTGAGTTAATATTATTCTCTCAGTAACTCTTTTCTTCACATTGAAGGATTTATTGTGCATTATGAGTGTGTGCTTTGTTTTAAGAGAATTTAAATAAATAGATGCTTTATAGATCAAAATCCCATGGAATTCATACCAGAATTAAAATTTGGCTTCTTAAATATAGGTATCTTAAAACCCATTGATATGGTAGGGGTTCTAGAAACATTAGAAACTCTCTTTTATTGTTCATTGGAATTCAATGAAGTGGAATTTTGAGATTGGTTCAATGAAATGCGATTTTTGTGTTTACTAATTTCCAGAAGGCCTCCTTCACATCTTTATTCCTCAGGCTGTAGATCAGAGGGTTCAACATTGGGTTGACAACTGTGTAAAAGACGGAGGCCACTTTGACTGTCTGCCGAGAGTTCTTGGAGTTGGGCACGCAATAGAGAGAAAGGATGGTCCCATGAAAGATGGTGATGGCAGTCAAGTGGGAGGCACAGGTGGAGAAAGCTTTACGGCGTCCACTGGCTGAACGGATTTTTAGCACAGTCACAAAAATAAAAACATAGGATGTGAGTATAATCAGTAGTGTACTCACCTCATTGAAGGTGGCAAAGCCAAAAAGGAGCAGGTGAGGGATATGTGTATTAGAGCTTGAGACAGCAATGAGAGCTGTGTATTCACAGAAAAAGTGGTTGATTACGTTATGTCCAGAAAAGTTTAGATGGAGAGCGTAACAAAGGAGTACCAAGGGGCCGAACATACCCCAGAGATAAGATCCAGCCACAAGCAGGGCACAGAGCCTTTGTGACATGACCACTGTATAAAGCAGAGGATTGCAGATGGCCACAAAGCGGTCATAGGCCATCACGGCCAGCAGGAACGACTCCGTCACCACAGCAGTGCAAGAAAGGAAGTACTGCAGCATGCAGCTAAAGTAGAAGATGCCTTTATCTGCCATGACCAAGTTTTCAAGCAGCTTGGGAGTAACAATGGAAGAGTAACAAAAATCAACAAAAGAAAGATGACTAAGGAAAAAGTACATAGGAGTGTGAAATTTGGGGTTGGCCTTGATGAGTACTATCATCCCAAGGTTTCCTACCACAGTGATGATGTACATGATCAGAAACACAAGGAAGAGAGGAACCTGAAGTTCTGGGTAGTCTGTGAAACCTAGTAGTGCAAAGGTGGTCTCTGTACTCAGATTTCTTGCAGCCATTGCCATAATTCCTGTCAGTGGGAGGGTGTGGTTAGAGAACGTTTCCTGCCAAAGAGAAGATTTATAGGGGTGAGTGATAAATCTCTATAATAGAGAAAAGGAAGTGAGAAAGAAGAATGAGTGCTCCTAGTTTTCTCCATGAACATGTCTCATTCAGATAGCTGCTATGTATCTACCAACTAATTTGAGTCTCTGAAATGTCTTTGCATTTCTAGCACACCTTGTATTTGCATAAAAATACGTATTATAATGTAGTACGTACATCCACACATTAGCTAGTAGCATAATGTGCAAATAACGATGGAAAATATTATTTTGTCAGAAATATAGTGATGTATTTTTCTATGAAAATATGTGTCATGCCTCTTCAACAATCTAATAGCTGTACGTAAATACATAAACACACATTGTTAATGTTTTGTGTTGATATACACAGAGTAATTAAATGCCCCACTTTTAACCTATGCGTGGCATATACATTTAATTAAAATTTATGACAAAAAGTTAGTATAGCCCAGGATATCTATCTCTTAAGGGTCCCAAGTAATAGAAATGAGTTCTCTCAAGACTGACTAGTTTTCATTCCTTTAAAAGTTATATAACTGTTTAAGATGCATCCAAAGAGAATATGGATAAATATCCATTTTTAAGGTAGAAAATTTACTCTGTGTGAGATGGTTATTACTAGACCTAAGACAAATATTTCCATGAGTGTTAACTTCTTTCATTAACATTACTGGGCTCTAAATTGAATAGTATTTAGAGTGAAAACTTTACAAGAAAAATTCTAAAAAAACCCAGTTGCCACATCAGGAATATAATATTGTCACAGTTTCATAGAAAACCTGGGTAAACTTACCTGCTAGGGAGAAAGAGGCCACCACCCTCCCATTTCTCTGTAGAGTTAGCTAGAGCACCAAGGCTCTTACATCTAATGCGACAGCTCTGGGGAATCAAGCCCTGGGGAATCATTACCAACTCATTTATCACAAACATCAATTAATAACCAATGCCAGGTCGAACATATCATGTTTAATGATTGAAATTTCTATGAAATTTCACAGAAAATTTGCATCATGAAGTCAACTGTCAGATTTTCTTTGCACATAATTAAAATTTCCTCTGTCAATTAAGAAAACTAAAATAAAACTCAAATACTGCTTGAGTTACATCAAAATTCAGTAGGACTCTGGATTTTGGAGGCAGCATTTATCAATTTTAGGCAAGTTACTCTAACTTATTTACAAATTTTCACTAAAGGATATCTATTTTAAGTGGGGCCAAAAATAAGAAAAATCTCTGTAGCTAGCCTAATCTATCCTTTCAGCTGTTGTGTTTGGTCATGTGAGCCAGTATATATGATTATCCTTGACAACAGATTTGGAAGAAAGATTTTTTTCAAATTTGCATAGACTCCTAGAGTTAATGACAGATCCGACTCATAGGATTTTATGGAAAGGCAATTACTTATGCAGAAAATCTTTTGAAAAATAACTTCTGAATTTTTAGTGGACCCTAATGGAGACTAAATGATTAGGAATAGGCTAAAAAGTTACCATACAACTTCCATGTCCAGTAATGAATGGGTGTTGTCTGTTCTACTAATTTATAAAATTAAGCATGCAATGCAACTAACAGCACTCCTATTCCTGAAGACATAAATAAATCACATAAGCAAGTGGTAAAAATGCCAAAGTTCATTGCCTTGCTCTATTGATTCTTCCTTCTCTGCCTGAACTTGTGGCCTCATGGAGTACACACTATGACAACTTGAATATGGGAGAAAACATTTGAATCTTATTTTCAGATGACTCTACCTGATATACCAACACCATACAAAAGTAGATAGTTGCAACACTATAATCTTGCTCTGGAGTAGCCTTGACAAACATCTGGGAACAAAAATTCTTCTAGTATTTATTTAGAAATTCGAACAGTCCGCTCAGATCTTTGAGATCACCTTTTGAAACTTTGTTATCGAGTATGTTTTGTAGCAGTCCTTTGAGATAGACTAATATCCTCCAGAGTGCGCCATATACTCTAAATCTATAACCAATATAATTGTCATTTCTCCAATAATTTATAAGACCCAGAATTTGTGTATCCAATGTGTAAATGCTAAAGACTCATCAACCTATCACCTTTAATGAAGCACTAGCAAAATTGTTGCTCCCAGGAGTAATACCATGAGCTCTATACAATACTTTAGAGGGTTTTATCTCCCATGGGAATGGTTCTTCCACTAGGGAACACAGCAGTGGATCCATTAAGAGGGAATTGTGATTTATGTATCAAGGACATGTGGTAGTACTGATGTGCAGACTCTGAAGTTGAGGCACTAAAATCCCTTACAGCTTCTACTTTCATTCTTTTCAAACACTACTTTAATATCACCATATCAGGTTGCCAGTGTAACATACTAACAGAAGAAAAATTCCTTGGAAAAATACTGAGGCCCTCTCAGCCAACAGCCAGCATCAAGTCATTTCACAAATGAGCCATGCCATTTTGGAAGTGTTAGGAAGATTTAACAGAATTCCCACGTTGATTGATCAGTGTCAGTGAGCATAAATGAGATCGGCTCATAGGTCCAAAGGATGGTGAGAAATGTCAAAATGTTCTTAAGCCAATAATTTTTGGGCAATTATTCCTAAGGAAAAGACAACTAAAGTATGCTCCATGTTACAATTTTAATAGATAGAATATTTATAAAATTAGTTTTAATATCCTTTTTTCCCTGTAAAATCATACCCATATGCTTGGAGGGTATGTGGCTGATTTAACATTAGTTACAAATAGATAGAGAGAGATATATAATTTTATATATACATATATGACACCATATATAAATATGAAATAAACATACATCAGAATGTAAGATTACATCAGACTATAAAGATTAAATTTAATTATATATGTGTGTATATGCTTACATAAATAAAAAACATATGTATAAATGATTCCTGCATCTCTTCTAGATTTATCCGTCATCATTACCAAAATATGAACAACTCAGATATAATTTTCCAAAACGCAAATGGAAAAAAAATCTTTTATATCCAATGTGTTCACTTATGTAGTTATGTTTTCATCAAAAATATTTGATCAGAAATATGTTGCTTGAGCATGAGTTAGAACAAATAACACACAGGCAGTTCATGCTAAGCCAGTCTGTATCTAGAGGAATCACTTGTTTCAAGACCACTAATAGTCATTTTTCTTCTAGTGGTATCTAGAAACAACTACTACTATTCTCTAAATTCATGTATGAATTCATTGTTGATCTGTTCTTTTATATGACTCATATCATATATCTTTTAAAGAATTCACTTTCTACATAGTTCACAAAATTATTGCCAAACCTATAAAATCTTAGCTCTTTTCACTTTTTTTTGGTCAACTTGTTTTTGAAAGTCATTCTAGGTTTTGAATAATATTCAGACATGCATTCCTTTTACATTTCAGAAAAAGTTAATACCAATTTAGATTGATGCTGTGAATATAGAAATGTAGATTTGCTTCCTCCAGTTTTCAGAAAAAGTATAATGATGCATCTCTGGTACAGCTCCAGCCTCCTTCCCTTTATAAGAGCATGGACTAGTTCTACAGGCCTTTCTACAAGATGAGCACTTTTCATTTTTTCCTGTACTTGCCCTAGGAATTCATCAGTCTTAGTAACAAAGAGATGTTTTTAAAATCCTAATGTTCTCAGACCATCTGTGTGGTCTGGTGGTTAAGACACTTGAAACCCACATGACTGATTATGCAGCTTGAGTACTGGAAAAAGCGGCTTGATAAACATGCCAGGCAAGTGTGTGTGCCTGCCCGAAATCGTAAAAGAAGGGAAAAAGAGAAGGGAAGAAATTGCATCATGATCATTTCCCATAAGACTGAGGGTACTTTCTCCTCTCCCTCTCTCTCTGTCTCTCTCTAGCAAGCACAATGCACAATGCCTTCTAGAAAAAAGAAAAATAAATCTAATAGTCTGGAATAAATGGGACCAAACATTCCTCTTATTTCTTTATTCAGATTTTTTTAAAAGAATTATTTTTATTATTTAACTTTATTATTATTTCTGTAATGTGACCAGAAAGGGACAGAGTGAAAGCAAGACTAGGAGAGAGATAAAGTGAGAAAGCAAGCTTGGTCAGCCATGTGGGAGTCCAGTGCCCTTAACTACCATGCCACCTGCCAGCCCCATTCAGCTTTTCTAATTGTCTTCTAGTGTTCCTTTCCCATTCTCTTCAGGTAATGGATTCATCCATTCTTAAATTATGAACAAATTTAGTCTTTTCTCATATACATTTTATTTTTATTTATTTTATTTATTTTATTTTATACATTTATCTAGTATACATCACTTAGCTCTAAAGTGAATTAACCAAACATGAATACACTTTATACCAGTCCAGTTCAGGATACCATATACTTTATCATCAACAGACAATAATCCATTTCTGTATCTCATAAATGTCTTTCCTCTCTATTTTTCTCCTTAATTTCTTTCCTCATACTCTCCCTCTTCTCCCACACTCCTCCCACACTGTATTCAGTATCCCTAGTCATTTCCATGCTGCTATATCCTCCAGTCTTTCCATTTTTACCATAAAATATGGAGAGTTGGTATGTTTAAGTGGAGACATCCAATGTCTCCTTCATAGCCTGGCTTGTTTCACTCAGCAGCAAATCTTCCATATTTATCCACTTTCTATCAAATAAAAGAATCTTGTTTTTGTTTTGTTGTTGTTGTTGCATTTTTTATGGCTGAGTAGTATCTTCAAAAAATAACCAAAACCAAACCAAAACAAAACAAAACAAAAACAGCTTTTGCTTTTATTTATTTATTTTCTGTATGGTTTATTTTCTATTTAATTTATTTCTACTCAAATTTTTATTATTTCTTTTCACATTTTTTGAATTTTTTGTTGTTGTTCTTCCAATTTCCTGAGGCATAATGAGGCATAATGTCCATTTGTGGTATCTCATCTTTTTCTTGTGCACTGATT